TATTGTCTTTTTCTCATTTACATGTGTAATGCCAAAAAAATATTTTTATACATTCTAAAAACAAATATTTTATATTTTGAGATATAACCCACGAGATAAACAGCAATTTTTAAATTTTAATTTAAATCTTTTTAAACAAATTGATCAGAAGGTGGCTAATAATTAAAGCAATACGATAATTATGTGATAAATACGTTTTCTATTAGACAAAAGTGTTTCAAGCGTATGAAGTTTACCAACAAAATGGGGTGTGTAAAATGAGCTGTCCATCGTAAGAAACGCCGGAATCCAGGCTGTAAGTTTTACCCGCCCTCTGCACCTTACTACCTTCACGTGCGATATTCCCTGTACACCTTCTATCACGGTATTCGCCACCGACGTAAGCCGCTCCCTCTCGCAAGCCGCGTCACCCCTCGCCCGCGCCGCCATTCTCACATAGAAATGCCGCCGCGATATCCCAACCGGGACGAGTTCAGTGGTTTCCAAAAGTCGACGAGTCGACGATTCGACGGTGGCCGAATCGCGCCAGTTTCTGCAATACTTGGCGAAAGCAGCCGTGAGAGAGAAAGAGAGAAAAAGAGAGAAAGCAAGAGACAGAGCGAGAAAGAGAGAGGAGGGAGGGGGAAGTAGGAAAGGCGTGAATCGAATGTTTTTGACAGAGATTTGAAATTGTGCATACTCTCTATGGATTGAGAGAGGCAATTACCTAAAGTGCCTTTTCTTATCTTGCATTAGTGACCTAATGCAATAACTATTGATAATTCTCTCTGTTCATAATTTTTTTACGAGGAAACATAAAGCGAAGAATGAAATATGCAAGTCATTTTTTAACGAAATGTGCTGCTTTTATAAGTCTTAATGATAACTCATAATCACATTCAGTACGACAAAAAGAGAATCGTCTTGAAATTGAATTCTTGATTAATGATACATTTGCTCATTATATACATTTTATTGCTCGATAAATCACACAAACATGAAACAAATATAAAATAAAAATATATATGTTAGTGACATATATATACATATAAACAAAAAAAAAACGATTTAGGTAATATAGAAAATAACAAGTCTTCAGATAAAAATTTCATGTAATTATTTACGGAAATGGATGGATAGAATTATTTTATCTGATATGTATGTCGTGCTTTGCCATCGAATAAATGGAATTTATAACTGAATAACTAAATGAAAACTTGATATATTTGCCAAGGTCTACTGCTTAAAAAATTATAATCGTCATCATATACATTGAATTGTTAAATGGAAACAAAAAATAAGAAGAAACCTATCCCAAAACAATTTAGAAAATATTCTAATGAAAAATAATACCATTGCAAGGATGAGAAAACTAATAAAAAAAATTAGAAGTGATAGAAATACATTGGAGATTCGAGATTTAATGGTTGTACTTTTGTATTAAAAAGAAAGTCTTAGGACTAAATGCAGACTGAATAGGAAACAAGTAATGTGTACGAAGCAGAAATTCGAAAAAGTGCTGCCTTGTAGAGATACAAAAAAAAAGAAAAATAATTTCGGTGAGGAGGACGGAGGAAGAGTAAAAACGAGATAAAAAGAATGCACTCAAATGAGAGATAGAGAGAGACAAAATAGGGAGAAAGAAAGAGAGAGAGAGATGAAGGAAGAGAAAGACAAATGGAGAAACCTAGAGAAGGACAGAAAATACCGTGTGAGACGTTGAAACGTTGCAGGGTATAAGGCAACGTGGAGAGCACGACTGCACTGGCGAGAGGCGAACGTACGGAACGTCGGGCGGACGGAGCACGCCGGGTATAGCGACGAGCGAGAGGAAGCGAGAGGTGTCCGAAGTCCAAGTGAGGGAAGAGAGCACGAGGTATAGCCGAAAGCGAGGATCGGAGCGAGAGGAAGAGCCGCCGGAGAAAGAGATCCATTCATCTTGGCGCGCCTAGCACGGGCGCGATTGGTCCGCCTCGGGTAAGGCCGCGCCACGATTGGCCGACTCTGTTTACCAGCTGGGTACTCCGGCGCGGCGCGCTCCAGACTCATAGAACGGAGAGGGGGGAAACAGAACGGAGAGACAAGCGGCGCCATTATTGTAAGGGGTTACATTTAGCTGGCCGTGGGTTGTAGTACGCGGCGTTCGGGATAGGGGGCTATAGTACCTTCATGCATGGCCCATAAAGGATTCGTCGACTATCCGAGAAGTACGCAAGAAACGGCTTCTAACACCTGACAGGGGCCACGCTCTTCTCTTCTCTCTCCTCGTGCCGTCGCCGGGTTCACCGTCGCCCAATTTCCCGAGCCGGGGACCACGATTGGGTGGGCCCGGCGTGAAGAAGGACCCGCCGCTTTATCGCCCGATTTTTACTCCGATATACGGATGGATTCGTAATCGGGAAAGGCGCGATATTACTCCGAGCGCAGGAATTGTACCGTCGCGAACGCGAGGATTCCGCGATTCCGCGATCCCGCGTGGTACCCGTGCGAATCTCGTGATCGAGAAGGAGGGACATGTCATTTGCCATCGCGGATGGTCGGTGATTCGTGGTCAGTCGTCCCTGGTGACCGCATCCCGCCGCGTTCGGTATTGTTATTGTGATAATGTGCTGAGTTGCGTAAGTGGCAGTAAAAGTGGACAAGTTGATTGCCGATAGGGGAAGCGATAGTGGACCCGGAAAGCGATAAAGCGATAAAGCGACAAAGCGGAACGGAAAAGGATTTCCAGGCGCGTGCGGCGAAAGAAAAGTGCGCGCGTTCACCGGCGTTTATCAGGGTTTACCAGCGTTTATCCGAGGGACCCCCGAGTGTTGTCCGTGATCCGTGATCCGTGCGAAGACGGATTACGCGCGCGACGATGAGGCAGCAGCCGGTGGACGTGTCGCCACGGTGTCGGTGTTGAGACACTAGTCCCGGTCGTCCGGCCCGGGCGTGTCTTCGGCATCGGGTCCACATCGGCACCGACAGGCGATATGAGTACGAAATTCATAATTGATAGTATGCTACCAGCTAAGTACCAACAATTTCATCCGCAACAGTTGTTCTCAAGCGCGACTCCAGGTACCATTCAGGCGTGCACGACGAGTCCGGCCACCGCGAGCCTAGAATCGAGTTTATCCGCGGCTGCCGTAGCGGCCGCGGCAGTCAATTACGCGCATCAGCACAATTCGCCGAGCCCGACGGGTTCGAGTCCCCAGCACTCGGGAAGTTCCGCATCCACGTCACCGGCGGCACGCACGACATCCAGCATGTATCCGTACGTGTCCGCCGCCGCGGCGCATCATCATCATCAACAGCAGCAGGCGGTCGCGGCCGCCGCGTTCGGCGCCACGTCCAGCATGGTGCCCGGCTTCGGGTCCACGGCGGCGTCCAGCGCTGCCCTGGCCGCCGCCGCCGCCGTGGACGCCGCCGCCGGCGACAAGTCCTGCCGTTACACAGCTAGTCTGACCGGCAATGTCACCCCTGCGTCGGCCGATCCCATGGTTAACTATACCCTAGGCCACCATCATCAGAACGGCGCTACGCCCGGTAGCCTCGTCTCGTCCGCGTCCGCATCCTCGGCCGTGTCGGCCGCCTCGGCGTCCATGGCAGCGGCGGCACAATTCTACCATCAAGCGGCTGCCGCATCGGCCGTTGTCGACCCTTTGACGTCCTGCCAACAACCCACCACCGGTCAACCCGGGATCTCGGACATACCTCGGTATCCGTGGATGTCGATTACCGGTGAGTCTTTCCTGGATGTCGTTCAATTTGCATTTTTTACGGTTTTTTTTACATTTCTTTTTTTACCTTTCTATCATTGCTGACTATTGTTGAACGACGATACGCGTGAGCGACGTGATGCATCATGGCGATGGCGATCATCACGGTTTTATTGTCGTAATTGCTTGTCTGTTATGGGTGATGGCTTTTAGTAAAAAAAATCATGCTTTACACAAAACATATTTTAGATACGTTTTATCAAACCAAATAGTTCTTCATAGTTATATTATTAAATAGACAATTGCTGTAACTACTTATAAATCTAAATATAATTGTTAATATTTAATTTATATCTTGTTGACAAATGTTCATCTAGATTAATTATTTAAATGTGAAAATGGCGCACGAATCTATTTCTGAATTTTGATTTTTATATTTTTTATATTGCATGATTGAAAGAAAAAATACTTGAAGAATGGTCGCATGAAACTTTCAGCATGATGCCGACAAAAAATATTAGATTTGTCTATCGCAATTTTAACCGAGTAATATAAAGAATGTAAATAACAAGACATATAAATAAAAAAACAATTAAAATTATTATAATTTTATTTTTATATTATCATTATTAGTTATTATTATACTTGTTGGAGGTATAGTAATATTTTTTTTTAATGCATAATTTATCCAATTTTATTTATAAAATTATATTCCAAAATATGAGCAAGATAGAAAATTACAGTTATGTAATCATCGATTTATTATTTTCATTTATATTTTAAATTTATTTAAAAGAGATTAAACTTATTATACATTTCTCTTTTTCAAATTACAAATTATTTTATATTAAATACGAATTGACAATGAAGGAAATGATAGAAACGACTGTTTTCTAGATTTCTATAATTTAGAGCGAACTGTATAATTATTGAAAGGCATGAATATATAAATATTGCACGCTTTCTCTGAAAAGAGCTAAATACATTAATATTGTACACCGTATTATATTTCTTTTGCTTACATACGTTTTTGGTAAAGATTAATGAGGTTAGAGAACTATGTACCAGCCATTTTATGATTTTACACGTATTAGAAACACATACATACGTGTACAAAATGTTTCTGAAATTAGGGTAGCTTTAAGAGCATATTATATGATTGTAAGGATGAAGCAAGGTCATATGAATATAGAAGTGGCTCTCCTTACGTTTAATATTAATATATATTTGAGAAGGGTAAAGGAATTCTCTTATCTCTCTTAATATATCCACTATTTTAGAAATTACACAATACCATACCAACTTTGCTATGTGTTGCATTTGCAAATGTAGCAGCGCTGACGAAAATAATTTGCATTGTAATTTGAAATGTAACAAGCAATCTTCGAGGAATACACGGACGTAACAGCAACTTAAAGAATGCACTACACACGTTGGATTAGAGTTTCTGTTAAAAGCGCTGTTGTTGCCACGCGAAACTTGAAGTTATTCCGATGTCGTGCATAATACATCGTACGTGTGCCTTGTCGAAGAGAGTCTTTGTCTGCTGAGAGACGCGTTAGCTAGGACAAAGCGCCGACGGTATTTATTGTGTATATTTGCGGCGAACAACGTAGCGGCTGCGGGCCGACCTGTTGTTGCGTTCTTAACGTTGACTCGCTGATGCGAAAACTGCGCATTTTTGCGCTAACGCGAAACGGCACGTTTCGTTGCTTTTTTTCGCGTTTGATATTGTTGTGACATTGTACTAACGGCGCACAAAATAACTCCGGAGAAGTTTGCGTGAAAAGGAGCCCCGTTGACTTCGTTGGAAGTGCGGTATAGAAGCCGACTAACTTGTCGATTCACAGTTCCCCTTGCGCACGAATAGCGTTTCTACGGTCACGGTTAGATTTATCCTCCTATAGGCATTTCGTTGAGACTTTAAACGTAAACTCCAATTGCAACAATCGCCGTATTTGTCACATTCAGACCGCGGTGCTGTCGTCACATGCAGCGTCGACTTAGCTAAATTCACGCGACGAATGAATTAAATGTACTGCCTTTCGCGCCAGTTTTAAGTTATTTACCATGTATTTACAATAAAATTTCTCGGAGAATTGGTTGCACGATCTTTCTCTCTTTCTTTTTCTTTCACTGTCTCTCTTTCTCTTTCTCTCGCGTTATGCCAATGTGTTTGCGTTAGCATGTAGTAATATAATACAAGGCATACACTCGCACGGAGCGGGGGATTGCGGAATATATTGCGATTAAGTTGTAATCTTTGAATATGCAAATTATTTTCCGAAGCCCGTTTCACTATCAACACGTTATAATAATACTTGACGTTAATGCATTAACTTTCCGTTTTACCAACTCGTGAGGTCCTGCATTATACCCGCCGCGAATGCGCGAATCATGATCGCGCCCGTGTAATTTCTAATGCTTGTGGCGATGATGCTGATTAGTGACATGAATCACAATTCCATATACCTTCTGCTGACTTTATTATTATTACGCGTTTCTGTGAAGAGTAAATGATTCAAATTGGCCATTGGTCAACGGTCCTCGCAATATCAACTCCTGTTTACGTGAATGTTATCTAGAAAGCTAAATCGCTTTCATAAATTATACAGCGACTATCTCTTTGGTATAATTGATTTTCTCGATCATGACTTCCAGAATAATTTAATTTCACGTTTCTGTTATTTCAATGTGTTGTTTTATTCAATCTTGTAATGCTAGTTAAATTATCAATTGATATTTAATGTTGTCACTTCATATTTAAACTTCTCATAATATTTGTAACATTATCTTTTACTTTGTAACGTTTTCGCACGTCTAAACGAACGGTAAAACAATTTGGTATTATTATTATTTGATATTCACGCTCTGCCGCGGTGAATTTTATTTATTCTTACGTTTACATTTGATATATTTCTAGCCTCTCTGAAGGGTTTACAGTTTTTTGAACACTTTTACTGTCGTATATCTATTCATGCGTCAATAAGTTTCTTATCTATTTTATGGGTAAGAATAGTTTTATGTCTCTTGTGTGTGAAGAGAGGTGAATGATTCAGGCGACAATATAACGTGACGATTTTAATTCTTTTAGCGAGGCTGCAATTGAATCAGCACGTCAACATTTTATGTCCATGTTTTTCCTTTTCAACAATTAATATTATTCCAAATATCGATGAATTTATTGAATTTTAATTTAATTGTGAATAACGAGACAGTTTATGTGACAATGTAAATCTACATTTACATGTTTATTAATTTCTATATTGTAAAGTAGTAATATACAGTAAGAAGAAGTTCTTTCATAGATTATTTATTATTATATTAATACATATTAGTACATAGCGCATACGTTAATCGTGCAAATTTAACTGATTTGAATACGCGTCTCAATACTTATCTTAACATTTTGATTTTTAATCTGGAAGGTCAATGGCAACTTCCAAGATTCTTACAAATTATTATGTGTCGGACCAACTTTATTTATTATCTAATCTTTGACATTGCAGAGCGTTCGTTTAATGTTTTCCTTTAACTTGTAAGATTGTAAGTGTTACGTAGTTTCTTTCTTCGGACTTTCTGTTACTTTAATGTTTTGCGTTATATATGCAATTTTTAGTATTAATACATGCATTTGAATCATAATATCTTGCAAATTTATTACAATATAAGAAACGTGCTCTATGTCATATTAGAAGCTTATCTCAAATGCATGCGTAGTTTTATAGCTTTAAACTGCGCATAAAGCTGATTCATATTATCTCACTTGACATCATAAGAAAGAAGGCAAAAGATAATTGCCGAAGCGTTTGATAATTTTATACGAATGTTTTAATAAAATTTTTCATTTTCCAGATTGGATGAGTCCATTTGACAGAGTGGTGTGCGGTGAGTACGAATTATTGTTGTTAATTGGAATGCTTTTATACTATTATTATTGCCATTATTTGCGTTATATATGTATAACATATATGTAAGATATATTCCATATTTCTGTAAATACTTAAAAAACAGATTTCACATGCACTCGAAACATTTTATTTTGAAAGGAAAATCTAACTTAGATTTAATTGTGATAAACGACTATCAATATGATTAACTGTAAATTAAGTGATTATATTTATATCAATTATGAAGAAAAGATAACTGTTTGAGGAGAAAAAAGATGATCTATTTTACATTATACATAAAATATTTTAACATACGGGTGGTAATCGATAAGTAATTTTAATATGAGATCCACAGGCGTCGATCTCAAGGTTTGAAAAAGGCTGGCAGGGAAACGACCCTTCCTAAAGTTACGCTCCATATGCTAGTCACATTTCTCTCTTCAGTTTAATGTATCTATAGAGAAGGTACTTGTAGTTGAATGGAACATTATGGCTGTTTTCTTTTTTCTGAAAGCAATGATTTGTCCTTTCCCTTTTCGACGTTGACTTTATCCAGATACATCACGTATTGTATTTGCAAAACTAAAAGTACAAATAGCGTTTCCAAAAAGTTTCCTTTCTGTATGATTGTGCAATTATGATGCTGTCGATTAGTCGTAAGTTTAATGAATAGTTTGTCATCGGTCTACACGGAGATAAAAAATGATGTAATCCCAAGCGTGCCGAGGTGTCAAGGTCATCGTCGAGATCATTTACGTGAATCGCGCTACCGGGCGGCACACGCTAAGTCCTTACCCTATTCATTTATGTTAGTTGCGCATGCAAGAAGGACAGGTATATGGGCAACTACACCTGTCGTCACCGTGATAATGTTAGCCGCGAATAATCTCCATGACTATCTTTTATACGGCCACTTACGAGCCCACAATAGCGCAGTAAATACCGATTAGATAAAATTAAAACTTCGGCCGACGGCTTTTATCGCGATGGTTTGTTTACATCAGACGGATCATAATTTCAAAATAGGCATTGGCGATCACTGTACGAAGTTTCCCTACTGTGCAGACGGAATGCTTAGTCCGGTAGGAAATTACATTCCGATATACTCAAACGGAATATATCTATTTCTGTACATATATATGCAATCGGTCGATGAATCAGAATACACGTTCGCCGTTATACGTTTATACGTCCAGCTGTTTCTTGCTAATCGCGCGCATTGGCAATGTGCATGTATTTCAAGTTACGCTATTACAAGCAAGTTGAAACTTGCTTGTAATATTTTATTAATATCAGTTAACAAATTCAATATATTTTATTTTGTACCAATAATTATATAAGCAATAAAATAAAAAAAAAAAAATAATATAATTTTGAAGCGATTAAATAATAATACATGCAAGATAATAGAAAGGAGTAGAATTAATTAAACTATTAAAAATTAAAATCATATATCAGTAAATATATATTATAAATTAGGTGTTTTAAACCAAAATAGAAGATCGTGAATAACGCGCCATTCTTTTATGAAAAGTAATCTGAATACCTAGATTCATTCCGTTAAAAAATTTACTTGGTTTCCTAACTTTAATTAATTTTAGTTAAATTTATTGTCGTAGCATTGGTATATCGATGAATGCCTTCTCGTTTCTCACGCGAGAGGAAAGAAATTTACGGACAGTATATAGACACTTTGTAACACTGTTATATTTATCGCATGTGTTTTAAATTCAATTCATGTGCTCGTGAACCCTCTTTTTTCACTTTCAGCTAAACTCTTCGTTGTTTTCACATTGATTCAGTATATGATTAATACATGAATTTGCTACGCTCTGAGATTTAGAATCAGCTTTTTTTAAAACTTGTGTGTCCTTCGAGATCATCTCCGCGTATCTCATTAAAATTTCTAACATTTAGAGATACAGAGTATCCTGTAAATTGTGATAAAAAAGAGAATGGCCAAACAAAATCACATATTATCTTATTTATTATTCAATATTATCTTTTTCGCAAAGCACATAAAAAATTTATTCTTTTTTCTTTCCTTATTTTTTTATAATCATTACTTGCCAATTATGTTATAATGTATCAAATATTATAAATAGTAGATTTAATTGCAATTTGTTTTTTTCATATGATGCGCATGACCGCAATGCGTATTTTCGAACATTATACTAACTAAAGAACATTAGATTCGATTGTGACAGGCTCTTTTTTTTATTCATATCGATAATGTCGCGGATACGATAGAATAGCTCTACATTTTCACTTATAACTAATGCAAACATTTTTTCGCGAACCACGATTATTTTGCGTTTGAGAACGAAATCCTAAGAACGCGAAAATTTTCGAGAATTTCGATCACGTTCAGCAGAAATTAAAATTATATGCCGACTAACGCGACACTGAATGTATTACCGTGGACGATGTACGAATTTCTAATCTGTCTCTGGTACGCGAATACGCGAGCATATTCTGACATTGGGGGTTCAGAGGCCTGCAAATGTCTAGCTGGATTACGGTGTGTACATGGGGACTAGCAGGAGATAATGTATAATTTATAATCAGGCCGATCCGCCGACAACGGCGCACCACTCTACGGGCAGAGTCCACTGCCCCAAAAGCCGCCAACCCCTCATTAGCATTCGATGATGGCTGCCGCGTCCTGCAGCGTCGGTATTATCCCATTTCATCGCCCCCGCCTCCCCTACCTGGACCTCTCTTCGTATTCCCCCCTCCTCCCCCCCGGCCTTCGATCCTGTCGGCTATCCCCGTCTCTCACACGTAAACGTTTCCTCCCTCGCCTGAGTCGCATCAGCATCCAGCAGGTATCTGACATTGGCTAGAAAAAGAATAGCCCCCATCGAAATTTTATCCGGAAAATTTCATCTGGAATTCTGCTTTATGCCACGACCCGGCGCGCGTTTTCCACTTTTCTATTTTACTCATCGCCTTCTCTCGATACGCCATTAATATACGTTTCTTTTTGAGAAACTCTAAACTCCACGCGGAACGTTGCTGCGGGAAAGTAAAGTCTAGATGCAAGGAAACATGTAACATTTTATTTGTATTTTAAGGCGTGCGAAATCGCGGGGATTGGGTACAAAGCGGATCGTAAAAACTAGACATTGGGGGGACGCAGTCAGTCGAAAAATCTGAGAGCGCGGGGGGGAGACAACGATCGAAATTTTTACACTCGTCGGTGCGGCGTAATCGCTTTTGACATCTCCCGAGGGAAACCACATTTCCAAAGACAGGTCAGAATCGTGTTGTCACAGAGATTATTGAAACTGCAGTTTTATGGGCCTTAAAAGCAGTTTAATTGCCGTTATATAAGTGTTTATACGCTGCCAGGTTTGGCCTCCGCCTGCGCCACCCCAAACGTTTATTTTATGGTCATACGGCGGCGGCGGCAACGGCGGCGCGTACCCCGTTATGTCGCGTGCCGAAGCCATCACACCAGTCAAATCCTCAGGCAGGCCGGTCGATTCCGAATATCGGCGCACATTTACGCGATGACCACCCTGAAGCGATATCTTACAATGTAAGGTATTCGGAATCGGCTGATCGAGGATCTGACTGACACTTAACTTCAGGAAGGGAAGCCCTTTACACCTTCGTTTACACTTTCGCATTTTCTTTCGAAGGGATAACTTTAATATTATTTGACGTTCATTGGAAGATTAATACGTAGTCCACATCATTACAACATAAAAATATTACAAAAAATACATTATGTGAAAATATTTCTTAACAGCACCTTAAATACAGAAGAACTAGAGTAGAATATTACAATCTCTCACTGCATTGAAATATTCCTGATAATCATGTATTTATGTTTAAATATATTTTAATTTTCTTCAGTTATTCGCGATGCCTATCGCGCGCCAAAAATTTAAATTCTTTTAAGAATTTAAATTTTAAATATTTACCTTAATAAATATTCTACCGCAAGTCTCCACTATGATACTGGATACAAAATTTAACATATTCTTTTTTTTTACTGTTACGAATCGAAGAATTATGTGACGCTTCCTTTTCTATTCCCTTTTCATAACATTAACTCTTCCTCTCAAAATCCACTTTTTTCACGCTTAGACTTTCACCCTTTGTCGCGCGTTACGCATTCTTCCTCGCTATCGTAAAAAAAACAGTAAAGTTTACCTGAACCACAGGAAGAGAAAAGCGCAGCTAGCGCAAGAATCAAAGATTTTTTCTCAACGCGTATAAATCACGATGTTGTTTCGTGCTGAGTCAAGTGAAAGTAAAGGCTTTGACGATCGTATGTTACACGAAAATCAACCACGTCACGTTTACAGTAAAGGACGTTACGCGCATTCATACCCCTTTCCCGTTAACGTATTTCTTTCTTGTACTTTTATGCTGGAATTGATTTAAATTGGGGTTACGTACAGTAACTGGAAAAAATTTTAAATAATCGACTTCAAGTTTTAAATAGGCGCACATTATCATATTTTCTAATTAAATTTTTTTTCTCTGTTAATTTTAAGTAATTGTTCTCGTATGATCTTAAAATTGTGTTACGCATAAATTGACGCTTAATATTAATATAAATACTATTATGAAATAAATAAGGTCTCCCGTAATACAATATAAAGGAGAGAAGCTTAATATTAATATAAACAATAATTGATGCGCAATTCATTTTATATATTATTTTAGATATGGATTATTCACATTATAATTTCTGCAATAAAGATTACTGATGTCACAGACGCGTATCGTCGTTTAGTTTTATTTGTTACAACAGACAGTCTTTATTTGTACCGCGAAAACTTTATTACATGCACATGCTTGACATTTACAATGTCTAAAGTTTTAGGATTAAGTTTTATTTCTCATGACCAAACAGCAAGAAACGGTTGCTCTGTTTGAAGATAAACGTTTTATCCTTCATCTGAAAGTTAAATTCCAATAAAATGTACATGTGGGTTATAAAAGATGTTGTATTTGCCTTTGTTTCCTCCGGCAGCGTGC